TCCTCCTCCTCCTCCTCCTCCTCCTCCTCCTCCTTCTTCTTCTTTTTTTTGCTATTTGAGAAAAGTTATTGTGTTATAGCTCAGTCTGGCCCTAAAATTATAGTCTTCCAGCTTTTGCCCCCAGAAAGCCCCCTCAAAGTACATTTGTCTACTAAAAGGGCACATGATTCAGAAGAAATGCCAGAGGACATGCTACCAGATCCCAGTCAAATTTGATTTCCTGTTTGTGTCTTTTCTTTGGGGAGCATTTTTCTCTCCTCAAGATTAGTTGCTGTTCCCCTAAAGTTGCCTAGAGAGATGATTCAACTTCCCCCTGTGAGAGTGCATATAATATTCAACTCTCTGACCTTTCTTGGGGTTTCACACACTTGCGTGATTCCTGGGCACTTGCAAAGTTAGTAAACTTCTATGGATTTTTTTTTTTTGCTAATCTATTCTTCCACTGTTTTATAGATTCAAATGATCAAATTTTCAGAAAGTAGAAAGTTATTTTCACCCTAAAGCCACACATAGGTTTCTTTTCATAGGACTCCTGGGAAACCTGCTTCTAGTTCTTACTCTTGTCTCTATTTTGACTTTTAGACACTGAATTGAGATTGCTGGGCTTTACTGTGTGTGAAATTCCATTACAGGAATTTAGAATGAGAAGAACCAGAATGCACAATAAAAAGGTCAAGAAATTGTCCTATGTTGAAATAGGTCTGAAATACTTAAGGCAAACGTTTTAGGAGAAATAAGTGGAGACACAGAAGTGGTACCCAAGATACTATCTCCTTAAATTTTGACCTAGGACTTTTTTCCTGAACACTAGTCCACAAATTAATCATGGGAGGAAGACATAATCTCATTCTATAGACTAAGTTTTATATCAGTTGATCCTAGCTAAAGGTTCTCCTACAGTTTATTCTTGGAGGGCTCTTCTACCAAGGCATGTGAGCATTATAGGCATACATATTTTCCAGTGGTGATTGAAAGTTGCATAAACTTCAACATTTCTCTACTCTGTTGGAGGCATATCAACATTTTCTACATTATTTTTCCAATTTATAGGCAGTATTTAGATTTTGATTTTATTGGTACTGCAGAAGACCAGAATATACCATCCCAAAATATGCCTCAGGCATAAGGGTTATTTTGAGAAACTGCAGACATATGAAAAGCTCTGAAAATAGACTAAAACTCGTTTGTGAAGTTAATTTACATCAATGAAGGAAACCCCCAGCATATGCCTCCCCAAATTCAGTGCCAAGAAGAGAAAGCAAGTAAGTTACCAGAGACTCTTAATCAATGGAGAATGAAAAGGAGAACAGACAAGACTTGAGCCTGTATAATACACTTTATCTTTATTTACTATGGTTTTCCTGGTCACTTCCCCATGTCTGGCCTCTTTCATAACAACTCTTTTTATTTATTTAAACTGAAGATAGTGTTTTGTGACATTATTCCTGAACAAATGTCTATTCATCCAAGATAGAGAACCAATGACAGAGTAAAATATGGATAAGATCACAAAATCCAACTTGTGAACCAATGAATTTTATTGAGGTTACTTACAGGAATGCGAGTGTGAATTAAAAGAGCAGAAATAACTCAGACATCTGCATCACCAAAGCCCACCCCAGCATGAGTGACAGCTCTTGAAAGCCAATATTTGGAGCACACTGCTCAACCTGCTGGCAGGTTGGGGGGTGTCCCGTGACTCAGTTGGTCTGAGCCTCTTTTATGCAGCTCAACTGGTCTGTTTCTTCTAGGCAATTTAGCTGGTCTCTGCTTCTTCATGTCTGCTTCATCTGAGCCTCCCCCAAGTAGCTGGGCTCCTCTGAGAGTAACTCTCAGCAGTGTTTACTGTTCATATAATATTGAGGAGGGAGGGGCCTAGTGAGTCTAGTCAGTTTTAGGGACTTCCTAAAACTATTGTGAGTTGTTTACTTCATCTTTTAACTAGCTTCCTGTAAGATGGAATATTTACCTCTCCTTTGTAGGGCCCTGGTCTCCTCCCATATTGAGTAAAGCTGTTGCCTGCTTGCCGACCTTGACCAGATGTCCTCCCTATGCTAATTCCCTGCGGGTATCCAACCTCCTGAATGCTTAAGGAAGTTCCTTGTCTGTGTATCCTGCATATTGGGTGTTAACAGCTTAGATGCAAGAATATAGAACGTTCTGTAGCAAACTTCTGCCCTCTGGGGTTCTCCCATTGTGCTGTAAGCCTGTATTTAAGGTTTCCTCCCTCTTTCAATAAATGGCATTCAACATTCTGCTGAGGCGAGTGACCCTCTGTCTTTGTCTCTGTTTTTCAATCCACAGCCCCTCGCTCGGACATGGCGAACGGGTGATGGGAGCTCGGGCATTATCGCTACACTCCTTAAAACATCCTGTTGTTTCACTTTTCCTGAATCATCCTATCTTTAAAATATCCTGTTTTTTTCCAACCCCTTCTCCCATCCTATGCAGTTTCCCTCGAAGAGGGAAGATTTTAAACTCAGAAGAAGCTGCTACACAACAGATAATTTATTTGATTAGAAACATTGTCTTGTTATATAGCCAAAGCTGTTCTGAAATTTGTGATCCTCTTGCCTCTGCCTCCTGGGCAGATAGGATTACAAGCATGTATCACCATGCCCAAATGAAGATGGTATTTTAAATACTTTTAAAGTTGAATTCTATTTTTTTAATTTTTTTTTATTTTACAATACTATTCAGTTCTACATAATAGCCACAGATTCCCTTGTTCTCTCCCTTCCTGCCTCCCTCCCCTTCCCCCCAGCCCACCCTCCAATTCTAATCCACCTGTTTGAAGACTTACTGATTTTCTTTTGGACACTTCCTAGAATAATCAGCCCTTACTGTGAACCACCCAGGATTCTGAGGCCAACTTTTGGGTGTGTCTAGGGGTGTGTTTCAGAGAGTATTAACTGAGGTGGGAGAAGAACTGCTTAAGAATTAGAGGAAACAATCTTTTTTCATTTGTCAGGATAACTCTCTCTACTCATCTTTTCTTTCAGTGCTCACTATTAGCTATACTTTTAAAAATGGCATACTGAAATAAATCTAGCAATGAAAAATTGTCACAAAAATGATCCTGCACCATTATCTTAAAAATAACTTTCTAAAAACCATGCTTCCTCCCCAAGATAATCCCTATGTTGACCTGTAATACATCAGACCTCTCCCCTTTTGATTTCTAAATAGAAAATTATATGACAAGCATGTTTACGTGTTTTACTTTACTCCATCTTACATTTTTGAGATTCACCAGAATTGGTAGATATAACAGTGATTTGTTAACTTCCTTTGTCGTTATCAGCTTTTCTGTGGTCTGAACATTTCTGTGCCCTTAAATTACATATATTGAATGTCTATGCCTTCAAGTACCATAGAACACAGAGATTTTAGGAGATAATTTGGTTATGAGAGCTCTACCTTCATAAATGGTGTTAACTTCTTTATAAAAGAAAATACAGAAAGCTAGCTTGCCCCTCAAACATCTAAGGGGAGGAGAAAAAGTCACTGCCTATAACAGAGGAACCCTTGCCAAATAAAATCTTCCAGCAACTTGATCTTATATTTCCCAGTCTGCAGAGCTGAAAGAAATAAATATCAGTGATTTATAAACTCCAAGTCTGTGGTAATTTATTAGTTTCACATTAATGAAGTAATATTTTATTATATTAAAATATAACACAGTATTATTTTATTTTTCTGTGGATAGAAATTTGAGATGTTTCCATTTGTTTGTAAGACTTGTATGCAAGCTGATATATGCACTTAAACTCTATATATGAAGAAGTAAAGGTGGTGGAATAGAATATGTATTGTTAAAATTCAGTAAGTGGCACTAGACTTTTACTATGATTTCCCAAATATGTATGAGTAGTATATAAAATTTTAGGTCTTATCAGTTAACTATTTGCATTTTTGCCTGTCTTTATGGATGTATAGTGGTATTACAGTATCATATGTATATATTTCTATGAATTAGAACACATGCATATTTATATAAGCTCTCACCACTATTATGATAGGAAATGGTTTTATCAATTCCTTTATGCTGCTCCTTTATAGTCACTACCTTCATCCAACCATAATCACTGGTAATCAGTGGTGATTCCCTGGTTTTTTTGTTTTGTTTTGTTTTGTTTTTTGAGACAGGGTTTCTCTGTGAAATAGTCCTGGCTGTCCTGGAACTCACTCTGTAGACCAGGCTAGCCTTGAACTCACAGAGATCCGCCTGCCTCTGCCTCCCAAGTGCTGGGATTAAAGGCATGTGCCACTACCGCCTGGCAATTCCATGTTCTTATAAGTTTCTTTTTTCTAAATGCTACAAAATATAATCATCAAATATATATAATCTTTTTATTTACCTTTTTTCAGTTTATAAATGGTTATTTTATCAGATTGTTTGAACACTAAATTTTTGTCATTTGTAATTCAAAATAGTTACCTGAAGTTTGAAGTTTTGAGTATGGCTGGAGAGATGGTTCAGCTGTTAAAGGCTAGGCTCACAACCAAATATATAATCTTTTTATTATTATTTTGAAAATTCCATGCGTGAGTACTATGTTTACAAAGCTTTTACCCTTCCTTCCCCCTCTTCCAATTCCTCCTGTGTCCTCCTCTCTACTCCCTTTCAAAGTCATAATTTCTTTTTTTATAATTACACATACACACATATAATTATTTAGAATATATGATCTTTTGAGACTGGCTGTTTTTTTCACAATGTAGAATGCCTTTGGGATCCATTCAGTAGTGACGTTATGAATTGTTCCTTCTTATAGCTGAGGATTATTCTATTGCATGAATGTGCCAAGTATTTATTAAACTATTGACAGGCATTTGAATTGTATCTATTTTTATGTGGCTATGACTCAAATTGTTACAAGTATTCATATACAGGTTTTAAATGGTTGTAAGTTTTTCTTTAATTTCATAAGCCATACGATAAATACCTAGTAGTATATTGTGGGATCATATGATAAGGAGCTTCCAAACTATTTTCTAGAGGGGCTGTGCTGTTTTCCATTTCTACTAATAATGTATGAAAGCTCCTGTTCCTCTATATTCTTGCCAGCATGTGATATTGTCAGATATTAATGGCCTCCTTCATTGTCCTGTGGTGGTATCTCACTGTTGTTTTAATTTGTATTTTCCCAATACCAAGTGATGCTGAGCATCATTTCATATGCTTGTTTGCTATTTGTATGGATTTTTTAGATGAAGTAACTGTTCAGATCTTTTGTTTATTTGTAATGGGGTTGTTTGCTTTCTTCTTGTTAAATTGTTTTTATAACCTAGATACAAGTCTTTTATTTAATACATAATTCACAAATATTTTCTCCCACTCTAAGGCTTATCGTTTTGCATACTCTCAACAATGCCTTTTGCAGAGCAAATGTTTTTAATTTTTATAAAGTTCAACTTGACATTTTTTTCTTTCTTTCATGAATCATGCTTTTACCCCAAGGACAGATTTTTGCCAGTATTTTCTTTGGAAAGCCTTAGAGATTTGTTTGACATTTAGGCCCATGATCGACTTTGAGATGACTTTTGCATAAACTGTTAGGTACATATATATTCCCTCCTCTTCTTCCTCCATTCCTCCCTTGCAGATAGAAACCATCTTTTTTTAAATTCTCTTTTCTGGATTGAGAGATTCCCTCATTCTGGCAATGGGCTGTTCTGTTGTCTTGGCACCCTCTTTTTGGGTTCATGTGGTACCCCAGCCACTGAAGGCTTGGGGCATATGAGCCTCTTCCTTCCTTTGGCACTGCTCCCTCCACAGATTCTGGTCTAGATCCCTCCACATGGCTGTAGAAAGCATGCTCCCATGTTTCATCCAACCTTGGACTAGATCCATGGAACAGATGCTCAAAGATGCTGGCTGGTCCTCCATCCCACAAAGCAGAAAACAAAATTTACTAGCACAGACTTCCATCCTGAAAAATTCTTTGATAAAAGCCAAAGCCAAGGGACTGGAGAAATGGCTCAGATGCCCTTCCTGAAGACAGGAGTTTGGTTCCCAGAAACCACGTTGGACAGCTCAGCTTATAACTCCAGTTCCAAGGGATCCATCCATCACTGTCTTCTAACCTCACCTGAACATACAGAGCAGATACATAAAATTATTTAAAGGGGGACTAGAGAGATGGGTCAGCAGTTAAGAGCACTGGCTGCTCTTCCAGAGGACCCAGGTTCAATTACAAGCAACCACATGACAGCTCTTAACTGTTTATAACTCCAGTTCCAGGGAATCAAGTACCTTCTTTTTTGTCTCTACAAGCATCAGGCATGCCCTTCTTTGGACTTCAGCTTTAAAAATAAATCTCTTCTTTACATTATAGTTTAAATTGTTTTCTTCAAGCTAATTCATTTTCTTAAATTCATAGAGACTGAACCCACATCCTTCAGTAATTGTTGTTAACTCTTTTTATTATCTATAGTGACTGACCCTTAGGCAATGGCTGTCCAAACCAGAAACTGCAACTCCACTGCTACCAGCAGAGGTCAAGGGCTGCAGCTTGAGGGGACTCTGTTCCCTCAGGCACCGACTCTTTCAAAGCTACAAGGGAAACTGGATCTAAATCTAAAGAACTCATGATTCAATGGTTTGGGTGGAATTCTGCTCTCTCAGAAAGGCTGAATAGCAAGTAGCTAACCTTCTCCCTTTGCTGGTATCTTCCATAAAACCCAGTGTCCTTCTCTCAACCTCTACTTAAGAACCCTTGCTATGCGTGGTTCCTCCTTACAACTTCCTGTCAACTACTTGCTGACTCAGCCTCCTGCTCGCAGGTTAATTTTATTTAATCAACCACATTTTTGAATTGTTAACAAAAGCAATAGAAAAAATACAACACACTTTAAAATAATATTCCCCAACAAGTAATAATCTTTAAAATCGCTAGTATATTTTAATCTGACCTAGTATATTTTTCTTATGTTTTATAGACTTTTTCTGTAAGTTCATTTGGAGCATTTGACATACATCCTCTGTCTGTTTTGTCAACACACAAAATACACTTCTGATAAGTGTTACAACACTCTTCTGCTAATCAGAATTAGTTTTGTATTGATTCCTGTTGTCTGATAATTAACATGTGGGTCAGTTCAAGTAAGGCTCTCTTGCTTCTTTGTAATCTTAGAAAGATATGATTTGATGCTGCTATATTTGGTTGTGCTCTGTGGCTCCTAAAGGTTTATAGTGATTGAAGACTTTATTTCCAGGATTGCTTTCTTTCCAGGATTGTTTTTGGTTGGTTTGTTTGTTTGTTTGTTTGTTTGTTTGAGTTGGTGAGTTGGTGGAACCTTGAAGAGGTAAGAACCTAGTGTAAGAACTAGGTTCTTACCTTGTGTAAGAACTAGGTTCTTAGTCAACAGTTTTTAGGTCATTGTGCACATGAGATATATTCCACATGACCTTGATAGCAGTTCACATGCAGCATGCTGTCATCTTCTACCCTAATCAGAGGCCAAAGACTCACCCATCCACCTCCAATTCAGTCTTTGTATTTGATTTTTTCAAACTGAGCTAAATAAAGATCCTTTACCTTTCAATTGGACTTTTTAAGATGTTGTTTTATAGCAATAAAAAGAAACGGCTAAATCCTATGCAAATATTATGACTTTACCTTTTTAGTTTTGGATATTTTTCTTTTTTCTACTGATGTGATTATTTTAGGTGCTAACCCTTGAAATATCTTATATCTTGCTTTTATGATTTGTTAGGTACAATGCAGTGAACAATAAAGGCCCAATTATTTTTTAGATGGAGGAAAGATTTCTCAAACCAGTCCATGTAATGTACAGTGAATTATAAGTCTGTTCAGTCTAGTTAGTGGGAAGGAGCATTATTCCTAGTCTTGAGTAAAAGTCTCCCATACTTTAACCTCTTAAAATGGTTATTCCCTGGCCTTGGGTAGTTTTTACCACAAACACTCTGAGAATATCCTGAAATTGACTTAAGGAGGGACCTCTTTATAACTCTGTCTGTAGGATTCTCTGTGAATCTTTATCCTCATAATTTTGCTTTGTCATCTCTAAGTTTCTTGGACTCCCTGACCTCCCAGCTCTGTTTCCTAAATTTACTTCTCCATGCTTTTCCCTGGGTTACCATCCAAGCACCCTGGTTTAGAACTCTCCAGGCAGTAAATTAGTACAACTGCAGGATTCACCTCATTTGTTCCTGGCCCCATAAAGATCATTGTCCTTGATTACCTGATACTCAGTGTCTTGAAAGCCATTGCTCATTTATTTCAATTTCATTTATTGAATTGTTTCAAGTATGAGAATAAATCTAGTCCCTGTTATTGCATCTTGGCCAGAAGCAAAAATCTTAATTTGCATTCTTTATTACCACTAGTGAGTTTGAATATCTTATATGCCTGTTGGCCATAATATTTCTTTTAATGTGAAATGATACTTTATGCATTTTGCCTATTATTCCATAGTAGCAATTTGTCATTTCTCATTATTTTAGAAGAATTTTTCATATTAAAGCCATCAAATTTATGTCTGTAATAGATATTGTAAATATTTTATTCATTTGTTATTTGCTTTTCATTTTGATTTATTTCATTTGGTAATGCAACTGATTTCAGTTTTTACTTGATAAGATCTATTATTATTTTGATGTATTCCTCTTTCGTTTTCTTATTTCTGTGTGTATGTGTGGTACAAGGCCTCAAACTCAGGCCTCATTTATGACACATATACTAGACAAGTGCTCTACCACTGAGCTCCACACTCAGCTCCAGATAGTTTTCCTTATTGCTTCTACCTCTGGACAATGGACCAATATCACAGTCTTCTAATTATTCTATTATTTCTCCTGATAATCACAAGGAGATAAGAAATCCAGTTTTCCAGGAAAGCTATAGCCTTTTGTAGTATTTTTAAAACAATGCACTCTTATTTTTTATGAACTTACTATTATTCCATATAAGCAAGCCCTGCATGGATCTGAAGGAGGAAAACAGAGCATGTGCCTGAATTTTTTGTGGTGTTTCATTTACATCATGTGATTTTGTAGAAAATATGGAATAAATGCACATACATACATTCATTCATCAATTTTCTTCATAACTTCAATTTCCTTATCTTTCATTGTTTTCCTAATTATCCTGTATGAACTGTGTTTTTTGTACTTTTCAACTCATTTTTCCCACTTCCATTGCATGTTTAAACTTAGTAATTCTAGGTTTTGTTTGAATGTTATCTGATATTCTCTCAATGGGTACAATCTTATTAATTATACAAATAGACATTTATGTTTTTCACTTGCATTTTTAGTGTAATATGATTTCACATGGACATACTATCTCAAATCTCCATGTCCTTCTTCTTTTGTTCAAATGTTCAACATTGTTTTTCAAAGTCCAGTGTTTTTTTTTTTTTTGAAACTCCAGGTTTTGTTTTGTTTTTTAAGTAAGTGTCAGCTTTACCAAGGGACCTCTGTGGTCTTTGAATACTGATGTTTGAGATGGACTGTACATCATAAATCATTCAGTCCCCCGAGAATGGAAATGTGAAAGTGGCCTGTTTGCTGTAGCTATTTTTACTAGAAGCTGAATTAAAGTCTCTACAAAGAGGGAGGGAGGAGTGAGTTATGAAGAAAAAAGCCTCATAACAGGACAATCAACTGATTCTGAATGATTTCTTTTCAGAGTCTGCATGTATGAGTCCTGATGGGGGCAGTTCAAGTTCTTTGTAGGATTTCAATTTATAGCTTAGCCATTCACACAAAGAACATGCTATTCATGTTTCATTGCAGGACAGGACTTTATTTTCCCAGGATGAATGTACTTCTTAGAAAGGATCCTGGGAACTAGTGCGGGGATTAAGTTTGTGTCAACTTGTCTGAGCCATGGTTCTGAGATATTTTGGCAAACATTATTATAAATGTTTCTACAAAAGTGTTATTTGAATAAGATTAAGGCTTAACTTGGTGGACTTTAATTAAAGCAAATGACCTTTCACGATGTTGATAGGCCTCACACATTCAATTGAAGGCTTTGAGAGAACAAAGACTGGCTTCCTGTAAACAGGAAAGAATGCTGCAGCCATATCCCCACTACCTTTGGACTCAAACTGCAACTTTTCTCCAGGTATCTAGGATGATGTTAGATAATTCCATTTATGATTCTGAACTTACCAAATGTTGGGGTTTGATTATGTTCCTCCTAAAGTTCATATTTTGAAATCCTAACCTTTTCAAAGTGATGATATTAGAATGAGGGACCTTTGGGACATGATTAGGTCAAGAGTACTCTACTCTCATGGATGGTATTATTGCCCTTTTAAGATGAGGCCAGAGAGAAATTCCTTATCCCTATTACCACATGAGGACCTACCTAGAAGGCATAATCTATGAACCAGACTCTGTATGTTCTTGACCATCATTGTGGACTTCCCACTCTCTAGAACTCAGAGAAATCTACCTGTGTTGTTAATAAGTGGCAGCATTGTTCCAAGTATTTTGTGAAAGCTATCTGAACTCACTGAAGCACCAAGCCTCCACAATCACATGAGCCATCTTTAGACCCTAGCCAGTATGGCTTGAATATGAATTGTCCTCCATAGTCTCCAGCCATTGAACTCTTGGTGTTTACATTCAGAGATTCTGAACGTAATTCATAACATTATTATGAGGTGATGGAGAAGGATTTGGAGCATAGTTGGAAGAAGTAGATCAGTGGAATCATGTGACCTATTCCTATATTCCATTTTCTATTTATTTTTAGACATAAGGTATACATCTTTCCTCTCCACATTCTTAAGCTGCCATAATATTCTGTCCAATCAAGTGGGACTAAACAAGCACGAACAGAACTCTCTGAAGCCATGAGTTGAAATAAATCCTCCATTTGGCTTATGATAGCTATTTGGTCACAGTAATGATAAAAATAACCAATACACCCTATAAAGCATCCCACTGCTGTGGGATAGCCTGTATGTCAAATTGCTCTGATTGGTCAATAAATAAAACACTGATTGGCCAGTGGCTAGGCAGGAAGTATAGGTGGGACTAACAGAGAGGAAAAAAAGAAAGAACAGGAAGGCAGAAGGAGTC